AGCTTGCAACACATTATCTAAATCGTCATTTTTCAAGATTTTCATATGTTTATAGATCTACTTGATTTTAACCATTCTTGGAGTTTAAAATTGATAATTAGATATGAAAATTGATTTTCAGATAATTCTAAGAATTTTTTATACCAAAATTACATGTTATGATAAAATTTAGAAGTATGCTTTAAATGGATTGTTTAACGTTGCAACTTTATACAAACCATCCTTAGATTTAAGGAATATTGTCCAATTTTCCCAAGATTTCACATTGAAAATCTTGGGAAAATTATAAATACCCCCAATTTCAACTTTCTACACATCCTACTGCTTAATATTTTTGTATTATCCCTAAACCCCAACACTATTTTTCTTTGTATTTACCCCTAGTCAAATATCAAAGCATTTTGAGACTAAAATGCCCTTTTTTTCATCTCTTCCCCTTTTTTTTCTCTCTTTGTCCTTCAAACATGTGACCCTCTCTTACTTTATCTCTCTACCTCTCTCCCCCCATCATCTCTCTCTTTCTCTCTTTATCCTCCCTCACTTTCTCTCTCTATCTCTCTACCCTCCCTCATTCTTTCTCTCTACCACTCGCATGCTTGTGTGCCGGACCGTATTGGATTCGAATAACTTTTGCATCCCATAATGTGGTCTGACCTATCGAATTTTTTTCTCGGTCCAGCACACCTTGTGCCGGACCACATTTCTATCGATTCTTTTTCGATCGAGATATATGGATCCATGGATCTATGTATCTATATAGATTCATTTTCATGGATTAACAAAATTGTGCAAAAGTCTATTGGCCTCTGTTATTCTATGAGGCTCTTCCTTTTTGCGTATGTCATCGCTGTTCCCTTTGACAACATCCACTAATTCGGAACTTAATTTGAAAGCTATATTTTGACCCAGACATTTTCAAGATGCCCCTAATAACCAATGAATGGCAAGTGTTTTTCCTTGTGTTGATCCTATTTCAATGGGAACTGCAAGTGAATGGTAGAGAGAAAAAGAATGAGGGAGGGTAGAGAGAGAAAGAGAGATAGAGAGGGAGGGTAGAGAGAGAAAGAATGAAGGAGGGTAGAGAGAAAGAATGAAGGAGGGTAGAGAGAAAGAGAAAGAATGGGTGAGAAAGAGATTTGTTTTTGGGGAAGTAGAGAGAGTTTGAGAGAGAAATATAAAAAGGATCCGGTTTCTATGTAGTTAAGCCTGGATAGGTAGAAATGCGGGCCTATTAATAAACCTATTTTGAG